CGTGGGGCTCACAAGCGTTCTGGAAGAGCTGCATGTGCATCTCAACGAGGGGGAAGCTCTGGCGGAAGCTGTAGGTCACCAGGATCTTCTTCTTCTGGAAGATCTTCGTCACCTGCCGAGGCCACCAGGTCACCGGGGACCCAAGCATCTGGGAGACCCCTCGACTCTCCCATGGGTGCCCCCCGCCCCAGGGACACCCCCGCTGCGCCGGGGGGCCAGGCTCACCACCAGCAGGTCGTTGAAGAGGAAGACCTCGCGCTGGTGCAGCCCCAGGCGCTGGGGCCGGTTGGGGTCGGGGACCTCGTAGAGCTGGCAGCAGCACACCAAGCGCCGGTGGGGCAGGGACAGCACCTGGGGACAGGGGTGGGCTCAGCACTGGGGCGGGGCCTCGGTGGGACACACCCACCCACCCACCCTCCAGGCCCACCCCTTGATGGTGATGGCACCCTTGACATTGGCCTGTCCCATCCCTGGGGGTCACCTACAGCATCCCCCTGTAGTGTCGCCTAGAACATCCCCCATTGGATCGCCTAGAACATCCCCCATTGGTCACCTTGAGCGTCCCCCCATAGGTCACGTAGAACATCCCCCACAGGGTCACCTAGGATTTCTCCCATAGGTCACCTAGAACACCCCCCATAGGGTCACCTAGACCATCATCCCTCCATAGGGTCACCTAGAACGTCCCCCTTAGGTCACCTAGAACCCATCCCATCCCTCAGGCGAACCCACCGGTTTCTTGCCGACGATCATGCGCTCGACGGCCTGGACCTGGGAGACGTGGTCGTCGTTGGTGCGCAGCTCCCGGCTCTGGATGCGCTGGTAGATGCCCACCAGCATGTCCCGGGGAATGTCCTCCCCGTTGTCCACCCCTGCGCGACACCCGGGCCCCCGCTCTAGAACCCGTGTTCAGAAGCAGGGGGTAGGGACACCAGGGGGGACGAGATGGGACCGGGCTCCTCACCTCGGAGGTTCTTGATGAAGTCCTCCAGCTTCATCTTGCGCTCGGCCTTGACGCTGGGGCTGTACATGTCGGTGTTGAGGAGGATGATGGCGAAGGCCAGGATGAAGATGGTGTCCGGGTTGCGGAACTGGCGCAGCAGGGCCGCGTTACACACGCAGTAGCGCTGGCTGCGGGGCAGACAATCCCCACGGCCCATGGGGTCAGGGTGCCCCACGGCCATCCCCACGTGCCTGGGATGGCTTCTGCACCCCACAGCAGTCCCGCCGCGGTCCAGGCCCCCTCGCGTGTGGGGCACCACCCCTAATGTCCTCCCAGTCTATAGGGTCACCTAGAACATCGCCTGGTCCCATATGGACCACCACCCCTGATGTCCCCCTGCTTGGTCCATAGGGTCACCTAGAACGTCACCCAGCCCTGCATGTGCCATCACCCCTAACGTCCCCTGACTGGTCCACGGTGTCACCTAGAATGTCACCCCACGGCACGTGGGCCACCACCCCTAACGTCTCCCTCTTGATCCATAGGGTCACCTAGAACACCACCCCATGGTGACCACGCAACTGCGTGCTATGGCCCGGTGGCCCTCCCGGCGCCAGGGGAGACGGGGTGGGGACAGGGACCCGTCACCGTCCCTCACCTGAAGGCCTCGATCAACCGCTCGACCTTCTGGGCCTCCCCCTGCACCCGAATGTGGGACTGGAACTTGCGCAGGGCCTCGTCCAGCTCCATCCCAGAGAAGTCCATCTCGTCCACCACGCAGCTGCGGGAGAACCCCACAGACCAGAGATGGCCTCGGTCCCAGGTGGACACCCCCCTCCCCCCGAGTCCCAGCGCGTCCCACCCCATCCCGGTGCGTCTCCCCGCTTACTCGAGGACGTCGCGGTTGAATTGCTTCTGGCGATTGCCGAGGAACTCGCCGATCATCTGCCGGCTCAATCCCTTTCTCTCCAGGATGAAGTGGGCCACCCCCACCGGGGTGTCCGAGAGGAAGCCCCTCTCGATCAGGTACTGGATCCCCTTCTCCGGCTTCCTACAAAGGTGGTGGGCACGGGGTCGCCCCGACTGCCGTGGGGCTCGTCGTTTCGTCCTGGCTATAGGGTGACCTAGAACGTCACCTTCTCCTGGCTATAGGGTCGCTTTGCCGCGGTTCTGGAGTCACCTAAACATCACCTTGTTTTGGCTGTGGGATGACAACCCGGCTTCCCTATAGGGTCACCTAGAACATCATCGTCTTGACTACTGGGTCACCTAGAACGTCACCACGGCCGTACTATAGAGCTATCTAGAACATCATCGCATTCTTCTGTAGGACCACCTAAAACATCACCATATTCTTTCTATAGGGTCACCAAGGTCATCCTGTCCTTGCTATAGGATCACCTAGAACATCACCCTGTCTTCACCATAGGGCCACCAAGACCGCCACCCTATCCCTTCCATAGGGTCACCGAGAACGCCACACGGTCCGGCTATAGGGCCACCAGACCCCATCCCACCTCCGACACGGGGTCGCCGCCCC